GCCCCGCCGCCCCCCGGCCCGCCGGGACCCCCCCCCGGACCCCGCGCCGGGGTCCCCCCGCACCCCCCGCGCCGCCGGGTCCCCCCGCGGGTCCCCCCGTGCCTCCCGCAGCCCCGGGCGCGGCCCCGCTCCGCTGCTGCTCATCCGCCGCCGCCCCGACGGGCAGCACTCGTGGGCACGGCCCGAGCCCCCCGCCGCCGGGGGGGCGCCCGGGGGTGCTCCCGGGGGGAGGCGAGACCCCCGGCCCGGCCCCGGGGACCCCGAGGAGCTGGCACGGAGGCTGCGGGCCCCGCGCTGGCTGGAGCCCGGGCAGGAGCAGCGGCTGTTCCAGCGGCTGGAGGAGGAATTCCTGGCCAACACGCGGCTGCTGGAGCAGCTGGGGGACACCGAGAGCCCCCCTGCGCCCCCCGCCACCGCCGACTCGGCTTATTGCTCCTCGTCGTCCTCGTCTTCCTCCCTCAACGTGTTCGCCAAGCACGGGCTGCCCGCCGAGGACGGGCGGCGGAGCGGGAACAGCGACGGGAATAACAACAACGGGAATAACGGGAACAACAACGGGGTGTGCCCCCCGCTGCCGTCCAACCCCACCATGGGGGATGTGAGGCGCCGCTCCACCTTCTCCAGCTCCTCCGACGAGAGCTGCTGCTTCCCGGCCTCCTGGGACAACCGGGAGACCCCCGGGAATCCCGGCTCTGACACCGACTGGCCGCCGGGGGAGGATGAGCTGCTGGAGATGGAGGAGACCCCCCTCGCCCCGGGGGTCTCCACGCCCCCGCGGCGGCCCTGGGCCAAGCCCCGGCTGGACACGCAGCCCCACAAGGCGCCGTCCCGGATCCCCACCCCGAGGGGTTACGGGGCCGGGACCCCCCGGCCCCACAACGGCAGCCCCAAGGCCTGGGGGGCTCTGCAGAGCGTCTTCTCCTCCCTGCTGGAGCCCCCCTGGACCCCGCGGGAGCGCGAGGGGCTGGAGGAGGACACGTGGCCCTGAGAGGTCCTGCTCGGTGGCCTTGGCACCCCTGGGGACATCCCGGAGCGGCCACTGGAGGTGGCACCTGTGTGGAGAGGTGATGGATGTGGCCCGGGGGCGGGCAGGACGCCTTCACCCGGAACTGTTGGCAGTGGGGTGGGCCCTGCAAGGAGCCCCCGGCCCCAGCCAGGCCCAGAGGGAGCAGCTCCATGGTGGGGCCATGGTGGGGTCACGGTGGGGGTGGCCGGAGCAGAACTGGCACCTGGGAATGGGGCTGGAGAGCACCTGGCTCTGCTCAGCTTGGACTCTTCATCTCTTCTCGTTTTCTCCTCCTCTTCGTGCTATTCTTGTCATCCTCCTCCTCATCTTCTCGTGTTCTCTCTCATATTTCTACTCCTCTTTTGGCCGCCTTCTGCTTCTCTTGCCTTCTCCTCCTTGGCCTTTGTGTCCTTCCCATCATCACTTTCTCTTCTTGACCTTGTCCTCCTCTTGTCTTCCTCTCTTCTTGGCCTTCTTTGTCCCCTTGTCATCACCCTCTTGGTCACTGTCTCCTCTTGTTTTTTCCTCTCCTTGGTCATCTCCCATCTCTCCTCCTCTTCTTCACCCCTGAGATGACTTGGGGACGTGCAGCTTCTCACACAACCGGGATTTGAGGCCGGGGGGGGTCACTGTGTCCCCTCCAGCCCCAGCACTGCTGTGTTGATGTCCCCAGGGTGGGACAGGGCTGTGCCCCCCGTGGCCCCCACCCCTCGGGCCCTGCATGTCCCCCCAAGCCAGTAAAGACCAAGGGAGCTGCTCCCACCACGTCTGCTCGTCTGTCGGGGGGGGGGGGGTCAGACAAGGGAGGAGGGCTCTGGGGGCCCCAGGAGGGTTGGGAGCAGTGGAGCGCTGGGGTGAGGGTGATCCCTGATGTCCTGCACCCCATTGCAGCCATGGGGACCCCTCTGCTGCATCCAGGGGGGTCCCTGGAGTCCAGAGTGCCCCATGGCTGAGACCCCTCACCAGGGGGACACAGACCTGCTCCAGGGGCTGGGCAGGTTGGGGGGCACCAGGGGGGTCTGTTTCTGCTGGTGGTGACCATCCTGCTGGGACTTTGGGGGTCCTAAAGGTCCCCAGATACCTGTCCTGCCTCTCCCTTGGGAGCGGGGCTGGTGTCCCAGAGCAGCTCCAGTGCTTCATGGGGTGTCCCAGAGCAGCACCCTGAGCATCCCCCAGACTGGGGTGCAGGGCCTTGGTGGATCCATCAGGGGCTCTGGGAGCAGAGCCCGGAGCTCCCAGGCCCATCCTGTCCCCAAGGGGTGACCTGTGTCCCCTGGCCATGGGCCATGTGCTGTGTCAGGCCTTGCTGGGCCATGGCCATGGCCACTAGGCTGGGCTTATCTCCCCCTGCAAGGCCAGGCCAGTGCTGGCAGGAAGCTCCCAGCATCCTGCTTCCCTCGGGATCACGGGGACAGGGCCACCCCACGTGTCCCCAGGGCCAGGTGTCACCTTTATTCACCTCAAACCAGTGAACACACAGTAGATTTATCTTCCATATATTAGAGATTTCCTGCTTTGAGGGAGGGGGGACCCATGGCTTGATTTGGGGGGGAAAGGAGCAGTGTCACCCCCAGGGAATCATCCAGAGGGAGCTGTGGGGTGGGAAGGGGCTGAGGGGACACTCAGAGCCCTCCCAGCTCCACAGGGAGAGGGCTGGAGGGGGCTGGAAAAGCCCTTTTTGTGTTTTTTTTTTTTTAACCTGCACATTAAGTACAGCCTCGAATTTGAGCTCCTCGAGCCCTTCCGGGAGCTTTGGGAAGGGCTCCCATGGGAAGGAGACCCTCTGTGAAGGGCTGGGGGCTCACCCACAGCTCTGCTGAACCAGGGGACAAAACCAGGGAGAAGCAGGAGGGAGGGGAAAGGAGCCAATGCCATTTTCCACCTGCTCCAGGGGCACTGAGCCCCAAATCCCAGGGAGATCAGCAGCCAGAGCCCCCCGATCCCACAGCACTCAGGGCCCCAACCGGGCTGGGAGAGAGCCCCTAAGTGCCATTCCCAGGGTTTGGAATGCTGAACCCACCACCAGACACCACTCCAAGACACCCATGGTGAGTGGGGAAGTGGGTTTTTTGGGCCCCCCACCCTTCCCCCCCCCCCAAGGTACAGCAGCTCCCAGAGGGTGAAAAGAGGGAATCTTGAGGGAGCAACACCAGCGAGGAGGACACGGCATCACTCACACACGGATTGCTACGGGGGATGCAGGGCCTGGGGGCAGCCCCTCTGCCCCCCTGTGCTCCCCCCAGCCCCACCAGCAAGGGGGGAGTCCCAGGGGCTGCTTCCTTGGCAGGAAGGAAGGGAGACATGCACATGGATCCGGCCTCGCTGCCTCGGGCGGGAAAGGGAGCGGAGGAGGAGGAGGAGGAGGAGAAGGAGGAGGAGGAAGGGCTGCAGCAGCACCTCAGTTCTTCAGGATGGTCTCATAGGCTTGGTAGACGTACTGGGACACCTCTGGAGCTCGGCATTTCAGGGATAACTGTGGGAGAGAGGGAAGAGGGGGGTCACGGCATCTGCTCCCCCTCAGCGCTGCAGAGCCACCAGCCCCAAAGCAGAGCCCTGCATGCTGCAGCACCCCCTCCTCCACAGGGGCAGCCAGCTCCTCAGTGCAGCTGGAAGAAGGATATGAAAGGCACTGAACCCCCAAAATACCATCCCAGGGCAGCACATCCGCATGCAGCACAGGCAGGGGGGCAGGCAGGGGTTGGATTCAGTGCCTGGCGCTCCGGGGTGAAAGGTTCCCCAAAAACATCCTCCTCTCCCAAGAGGAATGAGCCACCTCGGGGTGTTTGCTTAAATATTTAACGATTCTGCAATCAATTGGCTCCTCGAGCAGGGAGAGCTCGGGGAGAACCCTCTGGGATAAGGACTGGCAGCTCTCCTCACCCCCAGTGACACCAGGACGGTGCTGGGGACACCCCGACCCTCCAAAACGTTCAGCTCCTCGTGCCAGCCCTGCCCAAAGGAGAGGCAGGAGGCACCAAGAGATTGGCAGGGCAGAGGGTGGGGAAAATAAATCAGGGGAGGGAGGAATATCCAGGCAGCAGCCAGAGAGAGCCCAAAGCCAGGGAAAAACCAGTGTGCTAACCTCCAAATCCTGCAAGGGCGGGCGGGCCGGCGAGGGCGGGCGGCAGGGACGGAGACACAGAGAGGTGAGAGAAGGTCACACAGCCCATCCCAACCCCAAAACCAGGCTGTGAGGGGAGTGGGAGGGGCACAGGGAAAGCAGGACATCGGGATGGCTCACGGGTGAGACGTGGAGGGATCTCTGCTCAGGGCAGAGATGGGGAACGCTCCAAGAAGGGGACGGGGGATTATTTTAACGGAGGTGTGAGGGTGGGGTGGGACCTCTCTGAGTCCTTCAGCTGCTCCCACGGAGAGCCCAGCGGGAATTGTCACCCTCCCCATGCCAGAGGGACAGCAGGATTGGCACCAGCACCACCAGCAGCTCGGGGGGGGGGGGGTCCCACCACCATGGATGTGCCACCCAGCCCTCCCCAGGCTCGGAGTGGGGAAGGCAGGGAGCTGCCCAGGGGGTTGGGAGCAGGTTTGGGGATGGGACACACCGTGAAACTGGGATTGCTGGGCTGGATCCGGAGCTCTGCCAGCACCCAGATGCCATTGGTGAGCTTCAGGGACTGGTAGAGCATGTCCTGGCCCTCCACGTTCCTCTTGGCGATGGTGAAGATGTTGCTGCCTTGGAGTTTGCTGCTCACGGAATCTGGGAGGGGAGAGAGGGGCTGCTTGGACCTGCTCCTGTCCCATCTCCTCCCCTCCCTGTGATGGTCAGCTTGGGTATTAGGGAAAATTTATCCATGGAAAGGGTGGTGAGGCATTGATGGAGTCCCCATCTCCAGAGGGATTTAAAAGCCATGTGGATGTGGCACTTGGGGACATGGTGGCCTTGGCAGTGCTGGGGGCAATGGTTGGACTTGATGATCTCGGAGGTTTCTCCTAAACAATTCCATGATTTTACAATCCCAGGGTGGGCACAGCAACTGTTCCCAGGGCAGGGTCAACCCCATCAGGCAGAGGAACTCGGAATCACAGGATGGTTTGGGTTGGAAGGGACATTAAAACTCATCTACTTCCAACCTGCCAAGTTCCTACAGAGAGCCAAGGGCAGGAAAAGCAGCATCTCCTTCCTGGGAATATGGAATAGGCACAGGGGGAAGGAATTCTTGCTTCCCACAGCCTGGGATAACTGGGATGAGCCACGACCTGAGCGAGGGGTTGGGACCCACCTGCATTGAGGGAACAGTCTTTGATCTGGAACTGGGTCTCGTTCTCGTTGGGAATGTCCTTCCAAGTGGCCAGGAACATCTGCCTCTCTGCAGGGAGGAGGGACACCACGATGGAGCTGCAACACTGGCCACGCCCCAAGGTGACAACACAGGGGCACAGCACCGGGGGCAGCGAAGGGATGTCACCCTGTCACCCCAGCACCCCCTCCAGCCACTTTTGGGGGCTCACAGGCTGTGCCAGAGGGCACCACTCACCCATCTTGCCGTCCTCCACGAAGAGGATGTGCAGGGGGTACAGGGTGCTGAAGTAGAAGACGTCGATGTTGTTCTTCACCGCGACCTGGCGTGGAGGGGCACGGCGGGTTCAGCTCCGGGATGGCCCCCAAAGCAAGTGTCCCACCCCCTCCCACGGGTCCCTCTGGAGCCAGGAGCCACACCCTCCTCCAGGACACACCGGGGCAGCCCTGCCCGTGCTCCACTGCCAGCACAGAGCCCCCCAGGCTGCCCACCTGCAGGTTGTTGAGGGGGTCCATCTTCATGACGGAGCCGACGGTGTTCAGGGGCAGGGAGATCTCCACGGACTGGTTGGGGGCCAGCGGGGCGTGGACCTGCAGAGGAGCTGCTGGGGCCAGGCCAAAGCTGGGGGGACAGCCGGGGAGGGCAGGGGGTCAGGGTGGGGGGCAGCAGGGGATGGCACAAGGCACTGTCCCAGGGCTCCCTGCATTCCTCCACCCTGCTGCCCCTGCATAGCCCAGGATGGGGGTGGTCTCCTGTCCTGCCCACCCTAAGGCAGCCCCAAAATCTGCCCCCTTCCTCCTGCACAGACTCACACCTGCTCTTAGCATTCCTGTACCATTCCCTCAGGGCCCCTGAGGGAAGAGGAAGCAGCAGTTCACCGGGACAAACCGCAGGACAAG